CCAGTTTTTTCTAGCAAATTGCAACTTTGCAAACTCAGAAATGTTCCTGTTTTTCTACAAAAGTTTGAGACCTCATAATTTCTGAGGTTTCTCTGGAAAATGTTTTACTTTTCAAATTCAGAATTTTTTTTTCTGTGAAAGTTTACTCCTTTTTCTGTCTAGAATGGCCCTAATTCACCACCGTAGTTGCCAGAATAATAAAAGAAAAAAGACAGCAGTAAAAAGAATCATTGGAGAAAATCAACAGACTATTTTAAAACAGACGATCATCCTTGCGGCAAGACTTATTATTTTTTATAAATTTGTTTCACGATGATTGAGATTTTGTGTCGAGCAGCACCTTTGGATCCCCTCGGCAGATGGGCAGAAAGGTGTTACATCTCAGAACAACCCACCCGGTCGTCAGGCTGCTTAAATTTCATGTATGTTTTTTTATCCCGCCCTCTGCTTGACTCCTCTTCATCAGATCAGATGTTGTGAACCTCCTTGAGAAACTTTGAAAGAAGTTTTGAAGCAGACTGAGCCGAGTTGTTTGTGCGTTTCTCTGTTTCTGCCCTGCAGGTGTTCGCCGAGTCACTGCGAACACGGAGGAAGATGTACTCAGTCCTGGAGAAACTTCCACTGCAACTGCTCCAACAGCGGCTACCGAGGAGCCACCTGCCACAGCTGTGAGCGTCCAGGCGGGAAACGGCCAAAATGCAGATTCAGATTTATTTGTGTCCCAAATTGATGCTCCAGCAAGTATAAAAACTAAAAGACAAAGTATCAAAGTTAAACAATAAAAACAACAAAACATACCAAAAAATACATCAAATATAAATCAATACATAATGTGAAGAGTAGAGGGGTGTATATCATTGTCGACCGACAGATTAACACGGGATTACTAATCTGTGTGTGTGAAATCAGTCTCATGCTTCCACTGAGCTTCTTCTGCATTCATATGAAAAATATACTCAAAATAAAACATGTCAGATAAACTCAGCAGGCATTACTACCACGGCGATTTGGAGCCTTTTTAGATAAAAGGGAAACAAGGAGGAAATTTCTGTCAAAAATATCTGAAATTCTGAGATTGAAATCAGAAATTTTCTAGAAAAACCTTGTGAATTTCTGAGTTTTAAAAGCCACATTTTTTCTCGAAGAAACTCAGAAATTTTCAGAATAATCTCAGAATCTTTCTAGACTAGAAAAAACTTTGAAACTTTTGATTATTAAAACACAGAAATTTTCAAGTTTTTTCTAGAGAAATTCTGAAATTTAGTTAGTTATTCTAATAGTTAGTTTTTCTATTGCAAATTTTTGATTTCTGGAGCTCAGAGATTTTCTTGCTTTTTCTAGAAAATTTCTGAAATATCAAAATTTCAGTTTTTTTTCTTACAGGTTTTCAACTTTTCAACCTCAGACATTTCCAAATGTTGTCTACATTTTTCTTTAGTTCAATCATAAATTCTCTAGAAAAAACTTGGATCTTTCTGAGTTTTAAAAGCCAAAGTTTATGAGATTATTCTCTGAGTTTATGAGTTTCTCTCAGCAACTTCTTTCTTCCAAAGTTGAAAATTAACTAGAAAAAACTCAAATACTTTGAAATTAATCTCAGAAATGTTCTAGAAAACCTTGGAACAGCTGAGCGTGAAAAGTCTGCCATTTGCTAGAAAATACTCCAAAATGTTTAGATTAATTTCCGAAATTTTCTAGAAAAAAAAAAGAAAACTGGATGTTTCTAGTAAATTTTTCCCCAACATAAGCATTTTTGTTCTTATTTTGTTTTTGGAAAAATAATTTAATCATTAAAATTTTAATTATTTTATTTTATTTATAATTTAGGATTATTTTATTATGTTATTTGTGTTAATTTTTTTAATATATATATATTTTTTTTACATGAAAAGTGAAAATTATTGAATTAACATTTGAGATTTCACATATTTTACATTTTTCCTGCTTTATTCAAAGCTTAAGAATAAATACTTTAAGATGTATCTTATTTTCAAACTTAAACTTTAAATTTTCTCTTATGTAAAGAAAGAAAATGATCCTTTCTGTCTGCTTCTTCCTCTACATTTGTCTAAACACTCATGACGAATGCTGACGTATAAAAGTTTGTTCTTATATTTCAAACCAAGTCAACAGACAGACTGTTATTATTCCAGCTATGGTTTTATTGAGCTTACTTTAATTAGACCATCTGTCCCTCAGCAGTCAATCGTCCTGTGCATTTCTTCTTCTGCTGTTTTTTAAAACCTGTAATTATCTCAGTTCATTCGGGAATCGACCAAAGTGGTGAAACTTCATTATGCTTTGTAAATTACAATCTGGTTTTATTTAAACTTCTTAAAGATTTCTTCTTCTTCTTCTTGTTCACCTGCAGATATCCTACTGTAAATAATTAGTACAAATCGATTATTGAGTTTCTATTCCGCTTTTCTCAACAGAAGAGTTAAATAATTTAGTTTTAAATATGTTTTATTTACAAATGCATTTGTAAACCTGCTCGTATTTACTGATCGTGACGCTTTACCTGCAGGTCTTTGGAGACTTTCAGATAAGTTTGATCTAAATTTCATACTTTGCTTCTTAGCAAAAATAGCATCATCCCTGGCGATACATAATGCAGGAACGAAATGTCACCTTTCCACTGGGGGATAGCGGAGGAGAGAACAAAGGGACGGCATCCTGCTGGAGATGAAAGCCACAATTTTCTCCCACTTGTGTCTTCAAAGCGCTCCGAAAAGCACCGTGTCAATTCCCAGCTCCTAAATGCTGCTTCTCTTTTCATCACGCCTAATATTTTTAAGTACCAAAGACTTTCAAGTGCTAAAAATATCTTTAATACTTTTTTTCCCTCATTGAAAGAACAAAACGGATCATATTTATTTAATATATTTATCTGCAGGATTGTAGTTTTGACGGTGTTGAAGTTTTTTTGGTTTAGTTTCTTGTGCAAATATCTTTGTGCACTTGAAATAAGACAAAACTAACTCACAAATAACTTTTCAGCAAGAAAAGGAAAAATGACTCATTGCACTGGAAACTAATTTTACTTAAAACAAAACATTTATCCAGAGTTATAAATGAAATAATCTGAAACTATTTCATCAATATTAAGAATTTATTGACTTACAACAACCTTTTATATCTTGCTGAAAAGCTACTAAAGTCAGTTTTATCTTGTATTAAGTACATTGAGATATTTGCAGTAGAAACTAGACCAAAAATAAATTTTGTGTTTTAGCAGTGTACTTTTACTTGTGTAATAACCAAAATTTAAACGTGCGGTTTTTGTTTAAGTTTTACGAATTTTATAATGAAAGAAAGTGATATGAAATTTTATTTCTCCAAATTATAGATAGCTGTTATGAAATTAATTATTTTTCAAATTTTGACTTTAATCTCAGAATTTTGGGAAAAAAGTCAGAATTTGGAGAAAAAAGTAATAATTCTTAGAAAAAAGTAATACTTCTGGAAAAAAGTCAGAATTTTGGTTTTTAAAAATATTAAGAAAAGTAATAATGTTTTTTCAGTGTTCCTAATCCCTAATCCAGTAACGTTATTTTTCCTGCATAGCCAAATACGAACCATCGTGTGAGGTCTACAAACACCAAGGCGACACGTCGGGTCACTTTTACGTCGACGTGGACGGCAGCGGACCAATCAAACCGCAGCTCGTTTACTGCAACATGACGGGTAAAACAACATAATTAAAAATGTAGATTCCTTTTTATTTCACACAAACCTTTAATAAGCTGCGTTATTGTCGTTTTGTGTCCTCCAGAGGACCAGACGTGGATTATAATCCAGCATAATAACACAGAGCTGACTCCAGTCCAGGCCTCCGCTGACACTAACCAACACTTCGCCAGCTTCCTGTATCCGTCTGAGGAGAAGCAGCTTTCCGCCGTCATCAGCCAATCAGAGCACTGCGAGCAGGAGCTTTCCTATCACTGCAGGAAGTCCCGCCTCTCCAACAGCCTGGGTAAGATCCGGAAACGTAAAAAAAAAAAAAAAAGATGTCTGGAGGCAACAGCTTTGCAAAGTAAGCTTTTCTATATCTGAAACCAGGACAGAGTGGAGTGAACTGCTGATTTAGTCCATTAAGTTACTATTTAAAACATTAATTAAATTTCACTTCCTTATTATCGCCGCCGCTTTGCAGCAGCCAATTGTTTTGGAAATCATCAGATTTTATTCTTTTATTAAACAAGGATTTAAATACGCAGCTCAAGGCTGTTGGAAAGAATTAAAGAGTCTGATGAACTTCAGACTCTGTGGAGAGGGAGAGGAGGAGAAAACGGCACTTATTTCCTGTCCGGGAATATCTGCGGCAGAGTATTACGGCCTCTATACATAGAACAAAATATAAAAAAGGAGTAGATTTTCACCAAAACCCATTTCAGAATAATCTTAGAAACCTTCTGGAAATTTTTTTGAAATTTTTGAGTTTCAAAAGTCAAAAATTTTCAAGAAAAATCTCTAAACACTTGAGATTAACCCGATAAATTTTCCAGAAAAAAATTTAAATTGTATGATCTTGAAAAGTTGAAAATTTAAAAGAAGAAACTTTGAAATTTAGAGAATAATCTCAGACATTTTCTGGAAAAAACCTGAACATTTCTGAGTTTGAAAAGTCAAAAATTAGAGAAATATTCTGACATTTAGAGAATAATCTTTTGAAACTCGGAGAAAATTTTCAATCAGTCAATCAAATAATTGATCAAAGTGCTTTACATAATTAAAATAAAAACAGCATGTGACATTGAATAAACAGTTAGAAAGAGAAAGACATTTTGAAAAAGATTAAAAAAGATAAAAACATTAAAACCCCTTTTAGGACTTCAGTTAAATGTCGTTCAAAAGTAATTTTTTTTTTCAAACTCAATTTTTTTTCTAGAAAGTTTCTCAGATTAATCTTAAAATTTGAGGGGGGGATTTAACCAATTTTTCAGCTTTTCAAGTTTAGAAATCTCCAAGGTTTCTCAAGGGTTAGGGTAAAAATGTACTTTTACTTTTTTCTCTGATAGTTCTGTCTGCAACGGGCCTAATACGGCGTCGTAATGTCTTAGAACACTGGAAATAAGAGAAAATCTTACAACATTTTAACAAGAAATGGGTGCTTGATTTAAGTCAATAAATTCAGTATGTTAATTAAAAATTTGTTATATTGGCAGATATTTTTGCTTAAAATATCTTTTACTATTGTTAAAAAAATTTTAGAAATTTTTAACAATAGTGAAGAATTATCAACTTAAAACAAGTGCCTGTATCTTTCTGAAAAATTACCTGCAAGTTTTGTCTTATTTAATTTACACTAAAAAATACTTTTTGTTTTTGAAGTGCAGACAGTCCAATAATGCCAGAAATCTTAAAGACTTGCATGTGTTGGCAGACGAGACAAGCAGAAGCTGCTTTGGGTAATTATTTTATGTATAATAGAGAGATTAATTTGCTAAATCTGTTAATTAGGGGAGAATTAAAAAACATGATTTAATGAAAATTTTATGTTGGAGACCTTTTACATAAACTGTCACTGATTGACTTTTCACACAGCAGTGGCGCTACATTGATGCCAAGAAAATGTCCTTGGAAATCTCTTTTTCTTTTTAGTTCAAAAAGCATTGCATCAGTGTGTGTGTGTGTGTGTGTGTGCGTGCGTGTGTGTGTTTGTGCGTGCGTGTGTGTGCATGTGTTTGTGCATGCGTGCGTGTGTGCGTGTTTGTGTGTGCGTGCGTGCGTGCGTGCGAGTGTGCGTGTGTGTGTTTGTGCGTGCGTGTGTGTGCATGTGTTTGTGCGTGCGTGTGTTTGTGCGTGCATGTGTGCGTGCGTATGTTTGTGCGTGCGTGCGAGTGTGCGTGTGTGTGTGTGTGTTTGTGTTTGTTGGGAGAACACAAACACAGACACAGATTTTTCAGATTTTTACTGTGACTGAACTCATTTCTTGCTAACAGATGTATTCTGGGCTCATTTGCTTTAATTTCCGATTCTGTGAACTTAAAAACAGAATTCGTTAGGAGAATAAAGGTGCATCATTTCTACCTTCCAAAGGAATTTATGTAAAAAGTTTATTAGACTTCTCTGTTTAAGAGTCTACAATTTTTTTACGACAGTCAAGAAGTTGAAACAATGCATTTACTCACCACTTTAAATCAAAAGTGCAGTTTCATTCTTACTTAATAGACGGGAGCTATATGGAGTTACATTGGAGCCATAAAGTTTGTTTAAAAGAAAAAAAAATTAACCTGGAAAAAAAGATTTGAAACTGTAAAATTATTTTGTAACTGAAAAAAGAAGTTTTCACATAGTCTTTCAGTTTCAAACATTGGGCTTTTGCCTCTTCCACTTCCCATATTTGTGTCCTCTATCACAATTTTTCAAATTAATATATTTGATCTGTATTTAAAAATGTTGAACTATTAAATAAATGTAAATTATTCCATTATTTTTCTGTATGTGAGCCAGTGATGTGTGCTTTGCTTTTGTTTTAGATGGGACTCCTTTCAGCTGGTGGGTCGGCGGCCCGGCTTCGGGTCAGATCCACAACTTTTGGGGCGAAGCTTTGCCCGGCAGCCGGCAGTGCGCATGTGGTCTACAGGACAACTGCCTCGACTCGAGCTTCTACTGCAACTGTGACGCTGACTATGACCTATGGTACGCCGAATTATTCTGCAGCTGCATTTCTACTGATCATAAGACATTTTGAAATTAAATTCATTCAATAGAAACATCCCAGTTAGAACAAAAAAAATCTGATTTTTTGATAAAATATTTTTGTCCTGGGATGAGATGTTTTTTTGGTAATCATTTTGGTTTATTTTTGC